TTTTCACCAACGTCGCTCCAGTGCGAATGTGGTGAAGGACAATTAGAACTAGTAGTCAGCCTAGCGAGGGGCGGTGGCCTCCCGTCCCCCACTGTTCCTGCCCTTACTGTGCCCTATCTCGCCGTTTTTCGACCTCATTCCTGCACAAATGGTATCAGAGGGGGCTTCGAATTCAAACCATGTGCAAATCTCCGAAACCACTTTTTCGTGAACAGTGCCTTTAAACACAGTTTATGATAGCTTTGGGTAATCCAGATTATAACGAAAAATGGAGGAGAAGCTGGAAAATAGTGCAATGGAGGCGAAGAAACTGTCTTAATCGGTGTTTACAAAGCAAAAAGGGCTTCTAAAAATCGTTAAAAAGTGGGCTCGACGAGAATGAGGTCAGAAAAATGAAGAAAGATGGGGCGTTTGGATGAGTTGTACAATGTGTGTCATTGCGTGCGTGTGTGTCCTGATGCGAATAGCTGACTACGGTAAGCAGAAATTCGTTCACTCATGGCAAAGGTAACAGAAAAATCCTAGTAACAGCAGAAATAGCCCACCTTTTCCAGCCTATTAAGGTAGAAAGTTAGAATATGGATCGCAGAAGCAAAAAGAACAACAGAGAATAAACGAGTGAGAGAGAATTATCGCCTTATTGTTCGGCGGTCAGTTGATTGTGTGTGGGTCCTAGAACGAATATTGCAATCTGTATCGCCCCGACACTCGTCTGACGTGACATCGATAGAGGGGCGCGAGGTCAGGGCGGTACGGTTACGGGGCTCCCACTATGCTATAGCTGTTGAGTTTTGGGACTCAACAGCGTCCTTCCTGTCCTCCGTGGGGGTCACTCGGTATTCCTAGGGGGAGAACTCAGAATCCATTTTTATCGTGAGCCGTGCCTTCAAGTGCGCACTTCAGCTGTCACTCTACTATTTTCAAGCTTTTTGAGCTCTCGTAACTTTTTCGGAGTTTTTAGTTGGCAGCTTTAACTTCTGTTTTCGTAAACAGCATTCAACTCTATCGACATACCTAGTTCCCTATTTAGACTTACTGGGAATTCGAAACCTCCTTTAGTAAGATGAATACTTGGTTTTAACCTCGAGTGAAGACACACCCTCATATTGCGCTTCTCATGAGCATCGAGAAATCGGAATGGCAGTCGTTAGCATTTTACAATTGGATCAACTGTAAGACGTGAAACTATTTCAGTTTCGATCTAGCTCAAATGAATGTTCAAATGTAAGCTTCCCATCGTTTTTCCCATTGCTCCATTGCTTCTCTGTTTCCTGTTCCTTCAAGAGGGCAGGAAAGCAATTAGTCAGGGATCATTAACACTGATCCGCTCATCAAGAATTGTTGAAAACACTGCAGCTTACCATCACCTAGGTGAAAATGGTTTTCTAGATATCTTTGCACCTGCCAACCAACACCAGACCATCCTTCGAAGTAGAAGTTGTCTTGCCCACTTTTTGCACCACTGTACGCGTAGTTGATGTACTGAAAATTCGGGGAATTAATGACAACTTGCCAACCTCCGTGACATCTGTCCGACTGAATTTCCTATGGGTTGAACCGAATGACCACCAATGAGGAATTAAGATAGTGGGAAAGAAGGGAAAAACGTCCAGCACTTAATCATTCTCGATTGCCTCTATGAGCATAAATCTAAAAACTTGTACCTCGTCACATTGAAGCATTCTTTCAACATATTCCGGCCATATTTTCCCATTTGAATTCCGGGTGAAACCATGTGATTCTCCAGTAGCTTCAACGCCATCATCTGAAAGACTGTCGCCGAAAACAACCAACGATTGACAGCGGAATTCTCGTGGCTGCAAAAAGGACTGATTGTAATGACTTTACGAATTCTCTAACCTCTCCTACTTTCCAGTGAAATAATAACTCACACCTCCAACTTGTGAGGTGACTAACTGCACTGGACATTTATGCTCCGATAAACGCTGACTTTTGCTAACTACTAGGTTTTTTCCTTTTTCGTTTCGTTGTGTTTATCGGTGATGGTGCAAAAAATGCCATTTGATTAGGTCAAGCGCGCATGTTTTGGTACATTATCCCATTGACGACCATGCAGTCCAAGTGTGGACTGCACTTTTTCGGCCACATGGGACCGTGTCGTCCACATGTGGACTGCAGTTGTGTTTTTTGTTTTATTCATCTATATTTCCTTTTTTTTACGGTTTTCCTTCTCAAAACATTACATCGAGCCTAAGTGAAACTACATACAGTGTAGTCCTAGAAAATCTTCTAGTTTCGCAATTGTAAAGGTGTTTTTTCGAAGGGGTACATTACCTTGGTGAATTCTTCGTTCGTTGAACAATCTCGAAAATGAGATATTATTTCAAAAATACGGTCGACATTAGCATTTTCGCTGTTATCGACCAAATGCAAAGCTCATAAAAGTTCCACGAAACGATTTCTGGTAATGATTGAACTCATATTGAATGACTACTGGAACGAAGACCGTTTCTATAATAAAGATCAATAATCATTCAATGTGGGCATTCTTACCGATTCAATTTGAAGGAACATTCCTAAAAACTTACAATTTTTCTTATAAACTTAAAAAAATGGTTATTCTGGACCATGAAGTCCACATGTGGGCTGCAGTCGCGAGTGGACGAAAAGCGCGCCAGTCTCTCGCTGCGCTTTTCCCGCAAAACGTCATGGTCATCAATGGTTTAGGACAGCAAGGCAAATGACTCGTTCATTCCCAAAGGAGGACCTCTTTTCAATTTCTTCTCTATTCACCGCAGATGATCAGCACTCACAAGAGGGACTACAGCTATTTTGGGACCACCAACGTTTGTTATAATCAGTTGACTTAACAGCTCCATCATCATTATCTTGATAGGTGCACAATACTTGATGTAAATTTGTATCAAATCAGTTCATTGCTCTTCTCATCCTTCTCCAAGCATGTGGAAATGGTTAAATGGTATGGGAGGACACATTACTGTATTTTAGAAACATTATTCCTCATTTCTGCAAACATGCTATAAGAGATTTACCTTCTTTTTTAATCGATCATTCCAAAAGCGGTAAACGGGAGCAATTGCAGAAGTTGTAGCGGTATCACTACTATTTTTTCTTAGGAGGTCTGCTTTGCAGGGATTTAACTACAAATTTTTGTGCAAAAACTATGAAATGACTTGGAAATCACTCATCACACATTGAAGGTTGAGGTTGCTTGGTGAATGAAAACACTAAACATTGCGAATCAATGCTCGCTCTGAACTCCACAACTGCAAAAGTAATTATGAGGATACAGTGTAGAAGTCTGTGCCTACTTTATCAAACCTTCTAGGATCTGTGGGTCATTATGGTGTTTGCATGAGGACGGAATTCTGATTTGGAAACTCATTACTCTTCTCATGACATTGCATCATCAAAAAGACCATTTTGATGGAAATCGAAAGCGTGGCGCATTCCAAAAGGATCACTCATCATTACCAGAACCATGCTATTTCTCTGGATCCTTTTCAAGCAGCCTTCAAATGATTTTAATAAATGAACTGTGTGAAGTCAAAATTCCCGCTACTAAACAAGTATTCGTATGGTACATTCTGAACGATTTAGATTATTCTTCCCAAAATAGTCGAGTATAGCGATTCCCTTTTCCGTAAATTTTACTTATTATAGTAAGTTAAATTTTACCAAGAGTTCTTGCTTTTTCGAAGACGCAGATAATAATAATAATAATAAAGTCTATCAAGGAAAGACATTTGTTTCTTGGCGAAAAGTCATCCCTCCTTTCAAATATATTGGAACATAACTGTAAGATGGAAGACTCAAAGCTACTTCTCTTTGATTGCATTTGCAAACAAATACTCATGTCTAGTATTCTTTACCTGAAAGGAGGAATCCAAAACTGTTAAGCAGCGAGACCGTCTCCGGCGCAGAAAAACATTCAATTGCCTTTTTTTCAAAGCGAGCGTACCAACCTTATGAAAGATCCTGGCGTGTGTAGTTGCTAGAAGAATAATTACCAGTAACATGACGACTTACGAGGTGATCTAATGTGTAGTTCAGGGATGACTGGCTTTAGGCCGGTCAACTGCAGCTGGTCAAGCCGAGCTGCGCAAACAGCCGCCATTTGCGTATGGGGATAAGAGCTCGAAATAACATAATATCCGATCCGAGAACAATAATAATCAGTGCGTGTACAGTATGACTCATACCACCCGTAAACTGGCAATAGCCTAAAAATAAATGGGTGATGATATCGAAGCACGCTTTACTTGAACTGCTTAACTTTTCCATTTTAATTTTGGAAGCTCTGATGACATTGTGTCGTTCGAAAATTCTTAATTCTTCTACATCTGCAAAACCTACACGATAATTATTCCAAACTCTCTAATGTCGTCTGTAGAATATAGAATTAGTACAGAATCAGAATTGAAAAGAACCGAAGTCAATCATGTATCTTGTGTGCCAAAAATATTATTTCATTTATTATTTATTTATTTATTTATTTATTCAATTATTTATTCATTCATTTATTTACTTTATAGAGTATACTACAAAGCGTGCCCTTGAAATAGTAACCCATTGAAATGCAAAAATCAGAATCTATTTTATAGCTCACCAGTTGGCGTGCGCACGATACCGTGCGCGTCTCATAGCTTGCGATAGGTGAATTTCCGTGAAGATATCTTAGCGTAATCGTCTTAGCAACACAGTAAACACCCTCTTCCAAAAAATGGACAGTACCATTCTCCCACCCAAAACAATAGCGTCATTTGGCAATCACTAACATTCGTTCATCCATATACTAACTGAGACAATCCAAGAAGCCATGGAAGGACCTTGAAATCATCATTTTCTTGTTTATCCCTAACCATAGTGGAATGCCTGTATTTCACTGGAGATGAGAATGGCATTTGTTTACACTCTGACATTTATCCGCACCCGTCGCAGTAGGCATTTGTTAGCCTACGCATCGACGATCTCGTTGGTCAATATATTGTTTAATGAAATTTATGTCGTGACAGGCAGGTCCACATTTGCTGTTTTCGCGCAAACCCCGCCCCCGGTAGGTGGAGCCACCTACCATCAGTTTTCCTATCTGCACCTCTGCCAAATTGATTGCCCCAGGTCCAAGTTAACTATTTGTGTGGAAGCCCCGCCCCCAGTGGGCGGAGTCTACACCTGTCACGTACTATTAGTTTCCCCATCTTGCCGCCTACATCTCTGCCCAATTTGAACCACCCAGTTCCGACTTTACTATTTTTGAGGAAGCCCCGCCCCCAGTAGGCGGAGTCTATACCTGTCACCTACCATTAGTTTTCGCATCTTGCCGCCTGCATCTCTGCCAAATTTGAAAACTCTGGGCTCAGGAGCAAAGGAGTTACAATATTCCGGTGAGCTACACTATTCGCGCAAGCCCCGCCCCTAGTGAGCGTAGCCTAACTTAAGTCACATGTACCCAAGGAGCCCGGCTCATACCCCACTTGTTCCAGCCACATTTTCCACTTGTTCCAAGCTGTCTGAGGTGTTTCAGTTGTTTTCCAAACGGCACCATATAAGATAGTGTTACAGGCGAACAGACAGAAAACCAGACAGAAAAACAGACAAACGGACGTTTGCGGTTTATATATAGTAAGGATAGGGCATTGAAAGACGTATTTGATGTTGCAGAGATATGATAGCGGAGGACGTTAGGTCCCTTTATTAAGTTTGAGAAATAAAGGTGAACACGTATCAGACCCGTTTAGGAAGATAGAACAGTCTTGTCTTTCTCATAACCTCCTTGAGGTTCCAAAAAGAAAAAACGCTCAGCAACAGCTATCGCGTATTCAATAGGCGAGTTGCTTTGCCCAGTTCTAGTTAGTGAAGTTGCAAGAAGTGCGCTGTAAGCAGTAGTAAAAAGACAAAGGAAATTTCGATATAAATGCCCCTGTTAAGAAGCCATTGTATGGTTGCAGGTCTACGTGAATCCGCTCCCTGCTTCAACTGCTTTACTCGATGTTAACTAATAAATTCAAATTCTCCCGGAACATACTCAAATTTTGAGATCGGTACATTGATTTACCTTTCATCCTATGTAGCAACCACATGTTTGATTCTTCTTCCATGACTTTTGCTTCTGTATGCTAGCCGGATTTGTTTTGTACTGCTCCCCAACTATAATATTATGAGCGCCCCCACTTTCCCTTTTTTACATTCTTTTTCTTTAGACTGCTTCTTCCCGACTTCGACTCTGTTTGAATGGTGATCGAACTTTATTTTCGTTAATTACAGAAAATATGCTCTGGTTTTTACTTCGAAGCGAAACTTTATTCGGTAGGAACCTAAATCGTCAAAGACACAGTTCACGATTAGAATAGTTTTTAAGATTTCTCCCCGGAATGAGCGTGTGACCCGCACGGATAGCACGAGGGTTGCAGTCGAAAAACGTCCAAATAGGGCGTATTAAGGGCACCAAAGTGGGCTTAGCTAACGGACACACATAAAGACGAACGAGTTCTTGCAGCATTGTGGACGTTCAAAATCCGCGTCAGGACGTCAGGATGCCCCAAACGGATGTGGTGTAGTTGAATTCGGGGCCGATACCTTCTCCCCGAATACTTCATCGCGCGTGCCGCACATACCGCGTATTGCAGAAATGCGATAGAAGATTGGAGTGCGCAAGCTGTACGTCAAGAAGCCCTTTAATTTTTTAAATTTGCTGGCCACTTTCTCCAATCATAATGGGGTCTTGATCGTCGATAATAGAGGAGTGATTCCGAACAATCAAGTCCAGTAGACATAAAAACAAAAAAGAAACAGAAAGAAACAATCAAAACCAATCAAATAAGAGAGACAGTCAACGAAAGAGATGGTGTCTTACTTTATGGCTGGAAGGTGGGCTGAGTACGGTAATTGCAATTTGAGGCCACGAAACAACTGAAAAAGTTTTGCCATATGCCATTTCCCTCTTATTGCAGTTCTAGCGTTCCTCATACAGCTTAATTAATATACGATTATTATTTTTGACGTGAACCTATTGTTACTTCCTCTGTTCCTGTGTTCCTTAAGGGGGACGGAATTTACGTGCGTCCGAGGACGACTGTCGCCTAAACCTACACCCTGAAGAAACGCCGGGCGAGTTGTCGCGAGACATTTGTCAACTTTCTGGACGTTTGTCAAGTATACGGCTTGTGAATCAAGCAACTCGTTGCGGGACCCACGCTATCGACTCTGCTTTCGTTTCATCTTGGTGCTACTTATGAAATGTTGTTAGAAGAGATGGAGTTGAGTGTGTCCGCTCCCATGAAAGATCCGAAATTAAGGGAAGAGATGACAATGTACGTTGTTTGAAAGGTAAGCTGTCGTTTTGCCAAAGTATATTAGCTTTTTCACCGAGTAGAAATCTCCTCTGAATCACTGCCACCTGACAACATGAAGAAGTAGTGAGAAGCAAGATCTGCATTCTTACTGCTTCTTTCTCAAAGATTATCATAATACGGCGACCTTGAAGCAAATGGCGTGGCTTAAGGATCAGCATAGCATAATTGAAGTTAATGTAGTCCTAGGTCACTAACAAANACCTCTTTCAAACAACGTATTATGCCACCTTTACCTTTACATTCGGATTTTTCATGTGTGCGGACACTCTTACCACAACTTCTTCCAATAGCAATTCAAACGGAACATCAAAGTGAAGCTACAGTAAAGCCACGATGGCATGGGTCCAGCAACGAACTAGATTCAAACAGTGGGCAACTTGCCAAAAAAACTCGGCCGGCGTTTCTTCAGGGTGTAGGTTTAGGCGACAGTCCGAGGACGCGCACGGCAAATTGCGCGGCGAAGCTCGCGGCGATTTGGACGGCTTTAGCGCCTATCATTGGGGTCCAAATTTAAAGTGGAGTAGGTTAGTACGATCAGTTGACCCTACTAAACTACTTCACTTCAAGTTTGTGCCCTTATAATAGGCGCCATAGTGGACTCTCTAACTCACAGATTGCGCGCTCCAATCTTCCATCGCATTTCTGCCATAAGCGCAGAGTGCGTCAAACAAGACGCAGTGATAGGGCCTAGATATTTTACAGTACATTAGTGAAGCCTTCCGTAATATTCGCTGTAGTACAGATCTACTATATTCAGCTGTTTATGATACTAGTGAATGATACTAGATACTATACCATGGATACGTTGAAGGCTTTAGTGAGAAATTCTCTGCGAAATCTTCAGCCTTAGACTAAAAATACCAATCACTTTAGCAATCGCTTAGTAAAGCCGAAGCACCAAGAACAGAATATGTTGGATAAAGGTCGGGGCCTGTTTTCATGATGAAAAGGTTGCAAAAGCTGGCTATGCAAGCTTAGGTAGCTGCAGTGCGAAACTTGCCCTTCAATTTTCCCAGTTGTCGCTTAACGAGGCAGTTTTAGTACTTTTGATGCCTAACCTCTTTTCAGGTCCACGTACTCCTGGAATATGATCCGTTCAAAAGAATCGAATTTCCTCAGAGGTGGTTTGTGCAGCGCATTGAAAATTCTGGAACACACACCAATTTACGAAGAGGGTGAAGAAGCGTACACAAAAGCCATACAGGAGGCTGAAAAGTTGGATATTCAGGTAGGGTTTTTTGATAATGAGCATATGAGCAGATAATTACTTCCTTAGGTAGCAGTTCATCAAAGCCATGTTTGACTTTTTAAGCTCAACAAAGACCATGAAGCGCTGCTCGAGTTTGTTGAAGATGTGCCTCAGGGTGTATCTTTTCACCTGGAAAAGTTACTGAAGCTGTATGAAGAGCGGTTGGTTGTTTTTTTTTTTGATACGCACAACTTATCAAATGTATGGGGTGTCATAATGGTTGGCAAATCGTGTCCGTTAGATTTAAGTGATTGGGAGTTTTCGTACTACATGTGAAACCATCCGACTTCCCTGTCAATGGAGTATGTTTCATTTGAAGATGATAATGTTTCATTATTACATAGTTAATCATAGAATCTTTTGTTCAAATCTTAGTGGACTAGCTTTACGTCCGATCAGAAGAGGTTGGTAGTTTGTGCATGATTGGTCATGCACAATAAATACATTAAACTTGCATATTTTGTTTTGAGCAGAAACTCAGCCTTAATAATCCTTTAATTAATGCATGCCTGTTTTTAGGGTGAAATTTTTGGTCGGAAATGATCAGTTTTCGTTCGCCTCTTTCATACATGGACTGCATTTAGATGTGCCGTTTCAAATGTCACTGGATCCTACGCTGATATAATTGCCAAACTTCGTGACCGTCGCCCGGGAACAATAGGTGCGTAAAAATTGAAGCGACTCCTTCCTCCACCAGTGCTGAGGCTTCTTGCGAAATGGTGCCCATTTTACACGTTTTGCTTATTTCAGACTCAGAAGAATGCGATGGAGCATTGTCATCAAATACTGAAGGCGAACAAGAAATGAGAGTAGTCGAAGTAGTTCGAAAATTGCGGGATCCTCTTGGTGGTGGACAAATCCGAGATCCAGTCAAGAGTAAAGTATGCCTTTCCAATTCTTTATTATTTCCGCATTAGTTGGGAGTTCATTTACTAATCCTTCTAATACTTCCAGGACTGCGGTCACGTATATGATCGTAAAACTCTTCTAGAATACATTCGAAGCAGTAGGGCTCGTCGAGCAATGTTCTATCAATGTCCATATAGTTTATGCACAAACAAGAAGAATATGAACATGGATGATATGATCGATTGCCCTGAGTATTTGGCTGCGTAACAACCAATTGAATAGATTCAACTCCTTGGATCTCTTACTGTTATTTTTCGCTATCATAGGACTTCCTACTTTTCCATTTTTAGGCCTTCGTACTTATGGATGTTCTCATTGTGATTCGGGTAGGTATCTCAAAAGATGTTGATGTGACATGTTTTGGTTATTTGTTTTTGGGCAAGGCCTCAGTTTGCAATGATATAGAGGAAAAGCGTGAAGTTCGGGAAGACCAGCACGCATTATAGTCCAATGCGGGCCCACGATTTACACGTAACTTGCCGTATTTTCGTTTGTTATATCTTCTTTTCTACCGATAAATTCTTTCATTACAATTGTTCAACAGAAAAATGATCTTATGGTCGAATAACGTAGTGACCACATAATTTTTCAATCAAGTGCACAAGAAATTTTATTCGTGTCTCACAATTTGTAGATGGCCTTTCCTCGTACACAGAACCGTTCATCCTGATTTATTGTTTTTTTTTAGAAAAGGAAGCCTTCATGTCGCGAAAAGTATTCAAGTGCTGTGAGGTAAGGTTCTAATACGTCAAAATGTCAAATTTCTTTACTAAATGGAAGTTGTCAGGTGCAAATATTCCAGATTCTTTCTCTTTTCGCATTAAAGAGCTATCATATATGACGGACGTTGCTTTTCAAAAAAATTTTATCGTTGCTCAAATTAAGCATAGTATCCTTTTTTCTGATTTGTCTAAAAAGCTTCTGTAGGTGTTCACTAATAAGAATAAATCAGCTTGTGATTGCACCACAATGTTTTTCGGAATGAACACTCTCTATTTAATGCGAGATCTTACCACTGAAGTAACAAAAGGTAGGAAACCTTGAATACATGACAGATTTTCACCCTTGTCGATGGGTTTTCGAAAAAAGAAACATCCCTTAAAGCAACGGCAGGAAATGATTCAAGTTCAAGTAAACAGCTTATATGCTTTCGTGCGGCAGTCGACCTCAACGAGTAGGAAAACGAGAGAAAAAGGCAAAAATTTATGAAACGAGGTAAGAATGCGATGGCATTGTTCGTTTGGGAGAGAAGCGTCGAATAGATGATTGGTTCTCGAATAGATGATTGGTTCACATGATTCACACCCATTGTCTACTTTAAGCGCTGTAGTCTCCGTTGCGTTGTAGTTTCCACACTGCGTTGTAGGGGTGAGCCTATTTGGTTCCACGTTTAATTACTTCGCACCTTCCTCGCCCATCCACTCACCCGCCTGTGGGGTTATCTCGCTTGATTGGTTGGCTGCTGACTTCTCTGCCAGACCACCATGCTCAGGAGTAACAATATCGATTATATGATTGAGAAACTTCTAAAGTATGAAAAATAAAATAAAGCAAAACAAAAAATAATTATGCAACACATTGATAATGCTACACAGAAAGCTGTGGAGGCCAAAGTAATGATTGGAAAGATCATAGGATGGGGAGAAGGATTTATCGCATCGTGTAAGCATTCATTCTCACGAGACGCCTGCAGGCAAACTAGTTAGCAGAGTGACCTTTCTTACTTTTTTTTTAACCCTATATCGCTTTCTTTGGACACCGCCAGTAGGTCACTTATAGGTATTTAAACATGCGGATGAAAGTGTTATAAATCACCTGTGTAGTGTGATTGTCATCGCATGAGCACGGTGTCTCACTTGTACTACTCGGAATTTGACTATAGCGCCTTCTTCGGCTTGAACTCAGGATTAGCTGCTCCTGTTGCTCCTTCTTATTCCTACGAGTCCCTTTATTTAGCTAACCCACCACAATACACTGTACCACCCCTATTTTATGCACCTTCACCCCTTCCACCACTTGCAACTTCACTTTCTGTTACCCGAGTGCTGTAGCACCGAATTACTTTTAATTATCCTCAGCACCCGAGAACACTGTGAGTTCTGTGAACCAAAACCCTTCGTTTTCAGAAACCCAGAATTCAGAATGTGTAATAATAACAAATAATAATAATAATAATAATAAAGTTACCAATCCATAAGATCAATATCAGTTCACTCATACTGCCGGTGAGGTCAGCAGCCGACCAATAAAACGAGGTCACCCCACAGGCGGGTGAGTGGATGGGCGAGGAAGGTGTGAAGTAATTAGACGTGGAACCAAATGCCGACTCCCGCGTTGTAGTCTTCACTTACTCCTCTAGGGCATTAAAGGCACAGTTCACGTTAAAACACTCTCTGAAATTTTCCCCTCGGGTGAACCTGTGTCCCTTAACGATAGCCGAAGGGGCGCTGTCTAGTCGAAAAACGGTCAAGATAGGGCGCAATAAGGGCCACAAAACTGCCTTCGCCGACGTACACCCAAGGCGGACGTGTTCATAAGCGGTGCACAAACTGCAGGAGTTGTACCATTCGCATCGAGACCCACACCTTACACGTAGGCAGCGTACTGCGGTAAGCTCTATGCAAATTTGTTCTTTTTTTAAAGCCCTATGCTTCTCTAAATAAACCGATGCCTGCGTTAACCGGATTATCACATTATTCGTCTAAAACTAGACACTCCAAAAACGAAGGCAAACGAAAGTCGCACATTTCGTAGAGTCGCTGAACTAAAGGGACGTCTAGTTGTTAGTGACCTGCTGGGAAACGAAGTATTCAAATCACAATTTTCTCGGGATGGCATGTCAACGATATCTGATTATATCCAAGTAAGACAGGCAGTTTACTCGATTTTGCGACTGAGTTAGGGCACTTACTAGGTAATCTTGCCAATGGGCAGCAGGGAAATAGTCTAGGACAATAACGAATCAGTTAGTACTGCACACAAGCTAGCGAGCCATTATCCTTTGACGACAATGGCACCCACTGGTGGGTGCCACTATGACTGGAGTATAGGTAGGTCATCGGCACCCAATTTTGGGTGCCACCATTCTTTCTTGTTTCTTACCTATTGCTAAATTCAGTAAGCCAGCGAAAGAATTTCCCCCTAGACAGGGCCACCCACCGGTGGGTGCAAGTCGCGCGCAAAAGGGGCGTGGTCCCATGTGCACCTTACGTCGAAATCCGCATTGTCGTCAAAGGGTTTAAGGATGGAGCAGAAGCTCTTCATTAGTACCCACCTAATACAGTGCATCGGGGGACGTTCGATTCGTGTGATTCTGGGTGCGCGCGGCAAACTGCGCGGCGAAATTCGCCATGATTCAAACAACTCTGGCGCCTATTATTGGGGCACAAACTTGGACTACTTAAGGGTCGGACGCGGAAACGAAGATACTGTCGGGCACTCGCCTCTTACAGTAACCCCCTGGCTTACCCCACCACCCACCACCGTGTCCTTGCCCAAAGCCCCTTTTCGACGCGTCGTATATGTGACGGGTGAAAAACTGCGTTTTAACACGTGCCGGATTACTGTAAGAGCCGAGTGCCGGACTGAATTTTCGTGGGTTCTGTGGGTCGGACAATCCCACCACCCTACTTTACTTCAAATTTGAGCCCCAATGATAAACGCTGCACTCGTCCAAATCGCTGCGCAATTTGCTGCGCGCACCCAGACTCGCATGAATCGCCACACACCCCAGTACATCACCTAGAAATAAATTTAGGCGTGAGTTACGGTATTGCTAGATGGTACGCAGTTGTAAATTCATGTGGCCACGTGGTTACAGTGCTGTTGTCAACCGGAAGTTC